GGGGGGGGGTGTTTGGGAGTTCTGGGGGGGCTGGCAGGGGGCAGGGGTGGGGAGAGGGATCGGAGCAGTTAGGGGACAGGAAGCAGAGGGGTTTAGATGGGTCTGGAGTTCTGGGGGGGGCTGTCAGGGGGTGGGGGTGTGGATAAGGGTTGGGGCAGTCAGGGGACAGGTAGGGTCCTAGGGGGCCAGTTAGGATGGGGGGAGGGTCTCAGGAGGGGGCAGTCAGGGAACAAGGAGCAGGGGGAGGGTTGGGGGTTCTGAGGGGGGTGGGAAGTGGGAAGGAGTGGAAGGGGCAGGGGCGGGGCTCCTCCCGTCCTCTTTTTTGCTTGCTGAAATATGGTAACCCTACCTGTCCCCATCCACTCCTCTTTGGTTCTCCCCCACTCGGTTGCTCGCTGCTTTTCCCCTCCCATTCCCCTGCCTGGGTCAGGAAGGACTCGCCTGCTTTGCCGGGGCTGCAGCTCGACACAAGTAGGAGGTGGCCTTGGCTGAGTAGAGGCTCACGCCGGTGATGACCCAGTGCCTTCCCGCCTGCGGTAACCGGAGTGTGTGTGTCCAGTCCCCTTTTCAACCGAGTGTTCCGGTCAAAAACCGGGCACCTGGCCACCCTAACCCCCCCCATCTTTCTGTATTCATCTATCTCTTGTTCTATACTTAGGTTGTAAGCTCTTTGGGGCAGGGACAGTCTTTTTGTTCTGTTTGAACAGAACCCTGGCACAATGAGATTCTGATCCATTACTAGGGTTCCCAGGCACTACGATAATAGCTGCTTTCTTTGTCTACTTCACTGTATTTGGTGAAATTTTTTCTTCCTCCACCTTGCACAGCAGAGAACTCATCTTCTGGTCAGCCATCCTTCTCCCTCAACCTATAATTTCTGGGGAAGAAATCCTGGAGCACAGAAACTTCAGGCCAAATGGTTCCTTCATGCAGTGGGAGTCCTCTCAGAGCTACTGCACCCTTCCGAAATGTGGTACTCTAGGTCTAAAGCAACATATTCTGCAGAGTTATTATATTCTTTCATGCCATAATAGCCTTTCATCTAATGTAAGCAATCATCTCAACTAAATTTCAGTGCACTACTAAAAAGACTGGTAGTACTTTTGTTTTTATTAGAGGAGATAAAATAAACATACATATTCTCTCCCATGCAAACCAAAATATAATATATGTCAAAGTACATGATAAATGCCTTTATAATTATGATCAGTGTTTACAAGCATCTGAGCTAAAACCAGTACATTTATATATCTTTGAAGATGGTTGTAACAAGTGTTCCAATATAAAAAAAAAAACAGAGGTTTCTGCCTAGGCTATATGGAACAATCAGAATTTTAGTAGTTAATTGTATACACTTAGCTACTTTAAAAGAAGTTCCCAAGTAACAGACATGAAAGCACAATAGAACAGATTTTTTTGTAATATGAGTAGACTTATTTTGAAGTAAAAAATTAAATCCTAAAAATCAGCTTTAAGCAAAACACAGGAGATAGTATATCACTCAATTTTAGATTATTTTGAGTGGAAAACAACAACTGTAAAGAAATTAACACACTTACTCTCTTAGGTTTTCACAAAATTTCAATGCTTTTATTTCTAGACAAAAAGGCCTTTACTGTATTAGTACCCATAAACTTTCATAATCTGATTTTGTGTTCTAGATCAGTGGCTCTCAACCTTTCCAGACTACTGTACCCCTTTCAGGAGTCTGATATGTCTTGTGTACCCCCAAGTTTCACCTCACTTAAAAACTACTTGCTTACACAATCAGGCATAAAAATACAAGTGTTACAACACATTAAGCAATTTTTCAGTAACACTCATTTTTACCATATAATTATCAAATAAATCAATTGGAATATAAATACTGTACTTACGCTTCAGTGTGTAGTACATAGAGCAGTATAAACAAGTCATTGTCTGTATGCAATTTTAGTTTGTACTAACTTCGCTAGTGCTTTTTAAGCCTGTTATAAAATTAGTCAAATCTCTACATGAGTTGATGTACCCTCTGGAAGACCTCTGAGTACCCCCAGGGGTACACATACCCCTGGTTGAGAACCACTGAGCTAGGACAAACCAATTGTAATTAAAAGCTTTATTTTAAAATTCATTTAACATTTTACACATGGCAAGAAATATCTCACCTTGTAAACTTTTGGATCAGTACCTTCAGCAAAATGGAGGCTGCTTTCACCACCCCACAAGCAGACACGCTTTCAGTATAACATATCAGTGGCTTTAAAACTCTGCAGCATTTTCTCAAATCCATACCAGCAAAAAACAGATGAAGTTACATAAAAATTATGTCTATTACAAAAGACTGGTCAGTAGCTTTATCATGCAAGACACAGAACATCAAAGAAATTTGTCCCAAAATCATCAGATGATTTCAGCCCCATTAGGGGGAAAAATATATTTGATTACACATCCCTGATAAACTGTGCTTTTTGCACTTTATACACACTTAGATTGTAAACAGAAATCCACAGCAGCTGTTTCTAGCTGTTTAGTGTGCCTTTCCAGTCATTCTTTATTGCAATAAAACATGTATATACATAGCTCAGTGGTTTGAGCATTGGCCTGCTAAACCCAGGGTTGTGAGTTCGATCCTTGAGGGGGCCATTTAGGGAACTGGGGTAAAAATCTGTCTGAGGATTAGTCCTGCTTTGAGCAGGGGGTAGGACTAGATGACCTCCTGAGGTCTCTTCCAACCCTAATATTCTATGATTTCTGTTTCACTTAGCATTAAAACCACTAAAAAAAACCCATCATGGATTAAACATGTACTAGAATGGATAAACATGTCAAGAACTTGTCTGGAAAAGGGTAAAAAAATCTTTTAAGTGATGGTGTCTGCATTTAGAAATTTCTGATTCGATATGAATCACTTTAAAACTATTTTTAAAGATATCTGGTAGCAGATTAGTGCCACATTAAAAAAAAAGGGGGGGGGGATTAACAATCACTTAAGAAAAGAACAATTTCTGAAGATTTTGCTGGTGCAAACATATCACTCTACGAAACAAAAACCAAAATTCAACTCCCACAGAATCACTTTGTTTATAGAACAAAGTGCATACTAAATCCTCCAATTAAAAAACAGTAAAGTAGTTGCAGCGTTTTTTAACCCACCTTCCCACAGCAGGAAATTAATCCCTCCAGGGGGATGCAAACAAACTTCAAAGAGAAGATTATACCCAGACACTAGTACTGTACAATATAACGTTTACGGTTAAATTTGTTCATATTTTCTGACACTGGAAAAACAGATCAGAAGTGCAGGAACAAGTTATAAAATGGAATCCTTGCACTTATGTCAAATGGCAGAGATAGTGGATTATACAGCAGTAGGACACACCAACACTGTACTCTACTTAAACTCTTTTGGACAGGACAAATAAATGGCAGTAGAAAGAAAAAAAGAAAGCTATTTGGTCTTCATGGATTATAATTCATAATTTGGTATTTGTTAATTGGTGGTAACTGGAGATGAGTGGCTTCCTATTGGTACTGTCCTAAAAATCCCAGCCACCTTCAGGCTCATCATACTCCAACAGGCTACGTGTTTGCTCATGTCAGCTCACTCCAGGAAGGACCTCAAGGAGATGTTACTCCAGGAAGCGTTGACCAATCAGAGTAGCCTGATTTTGACATCTCTCCTTTTCACATCACTTATCAGATGGCCCACCAGAGAATGACTTCATAAACAGAGTGCTATGAACTAGTTCCAAAATTAAGCATTTCAACCTTGGCTTTCCCTGCCTGCTGTCAATCTTTCTTAAGTTTAAGAAAAAATAGTTAAATCATCTAACTATATCTACGTCTGTGTTTTTGGTGATTATGGCATTTTTCTGAAATACTCATATGAAACATTTTTGCCTGAAGAATACTGTGTGGAAAAAACTGCCTGGACTATTTGGACATGAAGTAACATTTGATAATGAAAAGTCACAATCAAACCATTTTACAACTATTTTCTAGGTCTTATTACTTCTTTGAAGGGAAAATGTTGCAAGAAGGAAGAGAGTAGACTTGGCCAGTGTATTAACAAGAGGAAGGAGAAAGCTGCCTTGTGGGAAATGCTATCCAGAAGGTCTGTAAAACCTTCAGTTTCTGCTTAAGTATTACTTGTAACAACAGCAGATAAAAGATGTTCCTAATTTGATGTTTACATTGATGGTGCCATTTTAATCTTCACAACATCCCTGTGAAGTAAACGTTATCCCCAGTTTATGAGGCAAACCGAGGCAGAGAAGTTAAATGACTTGCCAAAGACCATGAAGTGAGTAAAAGGCAGGATTAGAACTCAGGATTTCCTAACTCCTAATCCTGTTCTTAAAGTTTTAGAGGATTCAATCTGTAAAATCAAAGACTAAAACTGTATACCGTAGTAACATGCTCCCTTAAGTTTTTAGAAAACATTTTAGTGATTGCATCACTACTGTAGATTATATTATATGATCTCTGAAAAGTTTTACATAAAAAATAAGTAGAATTCAAATGCAAAATAGTACCTGCTCCAATGCTGCTTGTCCCTGGACAGGTCACTTCAACATACACTTCAAATGTTGTTTCCGGGTTTTGTCTGAAACAGAATGATACATTACACACATTAACAACACTTTCAGAATATGGAGTTGAACAACAGCCTTGGGGGAAAAAAGCTTTTCAAGTGCACACAGACATTAACAATGGTGACTTCACAAATGTAAAATTTGCCATGCCAGATCTGATCAATGGTCCCTCTCCCAGTACCCAGGTTCCCATAGTGGTCAGTACCTGTATTTTATTGTTTCACACAGTATTTATAAAAGCAAAAAACAGATCATATTGGGCTTGATTTACTCTGCTGTTTTATATAATCAAATGAATAATGTATCTTAAGATGTCAATCAGATCACATCTTTCCGCCTTACACACAAAGGTGGTATTGGATTCAACCATTATTTTAAAGTGGTGTTTTCAAAAGGTGCCTAAGGAAGTTAAGCAACTAACTCCCATCGAAAATCAATAGGAATTAGCCTACTGGAATTATGTGCCTACTAAACCCCAGTCTTAATATATAACTAGTCCACAACTGTAGGTATTAAAGAGATCCCATGTCTGCCAACCTGAAGGGATTATACTTTAGTGGAAAAGGAGAAAAAGATAAAACTCTATGCATTTTAAGATAACATTGCAGAGAGCTCTGCTTATTTACTTGGATTGTAGCACTCCAGTTCTGGGTCATAAGTAGTCAACTTGATTATCAGGTAGAGATGTACAAAAGCAATTAACTGCAAATTCTGCTTATTCATCCATTTTACAGAAAAGAAAACCAAACACCTTTTTCACTTAACTAAACTGAAAGCAGAGCGTTACACTGAGGGAATTGGGAGAAGTAACCTAAATTCACATTCTGACACTGTGGCCTTCGGTTTCAACCTCATGGTACCTATTCAGTCAGCAGAAAAAGCAGAATTCAAGGTGGGGGGAACTAAGGTCATTTTGTGCAGACATCTCAGAAAACATCTAAAGGAAAGAGTCACATTCAGTACAGTACAGACAGTTAATTACAAAGGTTTTTAAAGAGATAAGAGCAATAATTCAAATTCCCGTTTAATGATCTCTGTTGCCAATGGACTTGCCTTGCCTTCCTGCACCTATCAATGGAGGTACTGTTTAATTATCATAACTATTTGCTAATTTGCTAATTCTATTTTCAATTTAGCTAAGTGTATCTTTTAGTATTTCAAAAAGAGTTATAAGTAGAACATAACTGGAGAGAACAATTATCCTTTTTTTAAATTGAAAAAGCAAATCAAAACAAGGGGAAAATGAGGGAGAAAGTATCCATATGCTGGTAAAGAGAGAAGAAAATATGTATAAAAAAAACCACCCAAAGTTCTTTCTCCAACTGGAAAAAACTGTAAAGGGTGAACATAACAGTCTCTCTGTCCAATGAACAACTACAGCTGCAGTCTGATTAGTAAACAGTGAATTGGTAATGTCAAACTAGAACCTTGGCATAGAGTCGGAGAGGGTCTTCATTTAATAATAGTATTTAAAATAGTTCCTACTTGCACTAGGTCCAGAGGGGTAAGGGAGAACCTTATCATCTGAAGACTGTTTTGTTCTCCATTTCAATTCCATAGATTTGATTAGTTTAATTGGAGTTTAAATGCTGATGTGCTACAGACTGGGCAGAGAATCTTCCTATTTTGTTTGCTGTCTTAATACATTGCTAAGAGAATTTATTAACAGGCAAGGTTTTAACCCTAAAGGACTGAAAAGTGTGAAAAATTGAGAGAGCTGCCAAAAACATGTGAAGTAAAGGCCTGGGGTTAATGGTGCTGCTATCGAATGACAGCCAAATCCCATTACGCATCTAAACATGAGTTCTAGGAAATGGACACCTGCAATTTCCCAAAGTCTTAACTTCTCATTGATAACAATAAAAAACTAACCGGATATGACATAAAACATACCTGGCATACATCTTCTATAAAAACTACTGCAAGTAAAATGACCAACTCCCTGCCCACAGCACTGAAAATAGATGTCACAGGGAGCAGGCAAATACAGTAACAAGTACTGCAAAAGGAATTAAAAGGTACAATTTTTAAAATTACTTTCCTGAACTTAACTTCCTTTAGCAACTCCAGTGATTGTTTTGACCCAATTAAGGTGGTAGCATCATGGTCTGTACTCCATATCTATTCAATTACCAAAGTAAATACTATCCCATAGAGCTTGAGTGAACAAAAACTTTTCTTATGGACTTTCTGGCAAAAATGCTGTATTGGGTAAGGACTACTTTTCTCTGCCAAATGGGTCCTATTCTCGTACAGATTTCTTTTTGATCTCCAGAGACTTGGTTAATTCTGTAATTGACTCTTCCATTAATAAAACTGCTGTCTCAGATCATGTCCCTATAAAATAGCAACAACCCAGGTGATAAACAGCCATGTAGATGGAGGTTTCATTTTTCATTTCTATGACATTCCATTTCAGAATTATAGGGGAGAAATAAATTGGCCTGCTACTGGAGGCAAACGAACCCTCAACATCTTCTAGCAGCTATTGTAGGAGACACTCAAGGACTATTTGAGGAGTAGATTTATAAGTTTTGCATCTGCCAAGAAGAGAGATCATGGAGAAAATATGATAGCCATTTAGAAAAAACTAAAAGAGCTTGATTTGTCTTATGCCACAGCCCCATTTCCAGATTTGCTGCAATCTGATGAATCGTAGATATTCATTTAACAAGCTGCACTCGGCACAGTCTGAATTCATCCTATTTTGACTCAGGCAGGACTTCTGGGAATTGGGTCAAAGAGCTGGCAAGTTGCTGGCATACCACCTAAGACAAAAGACATGGCCATCCATGATAAGAGCAACAAAAATGATTAAAGATCTAGAAAACATGACCTATGAGGGAAGATTGAAAAAATTGGGTTTGTTTAGTCTGAAAAAGAGACGACTGAGAGGGGACATGATAACCGTTTCCAAGTACATAAAAGGTTGTTACAAGGAGGAGGGAGAAGAATTGTTCTTCTTAACTTCTGAGGATACGACAAGAAGCAATGGGCTTAAATTGCAGCAAGGGAGGTTTCTGTTGGACATTAGGAAAAACTTCCTGTCAGGGTGGTTAAGCACTGGAATAAATTGCCTAGGGAGGTTGTAGAATCTCCTTCATTGGAGATTTTTAAGAGCAGGTTGGACAAACTCCTGTCAGGGATGGTCTAGATAATACTTAGTCCTGCCATGAGTGCAGGGGACAGGACTAGATGACCTCTCAAGGTCCTTCCAGTCCTATGATTATATAAACATGGTAAATTATGAACATCAACTAAACCTAATAATAAAGCATTCTTTAATTTCTATAAACATATGTACAACACCCCTCCACAGATGCTTTGAATCAATTTTTCAAAAATATTACATACCGCAAATTACTGCAGCCTAGCACAGAAACCGTGACACACCCCTAACGGAGGATGAGTTAACTGAGGTGATTAAGAACATGCAAGTGCGGAAAGCCCCCAGGCCAGATGGCTTCGCTACTTCCTTGATCTTCTGTCTGACAAGATGCTTAAAAGTGTAACGAGTCACTCCTAGAGGACAACCTTCCCTCTACAATGAGGGAAGCCCTAATATCAGTTATTCCTAAACCAGGAAAAGATGCCACATAATCAGCGTTCCCTCTAATTTTTCCCACACATGTGCGGAATGAATTTTCTTATGTGCACCAATATGGAAGTGATGTGTGATGCACATATTGATATTGATGCACATAACAAAAGTCACGTGGCAGGGATGGGGCCGAGGTGTTCTAAGTGTGGGAAGGGGCTCAGAGCTGGGGCAGAGGGCTCTGGAGTGGGGCCAGGGATGAGGGGTTTGGGGTGCAGGCTGCCCTGAGACTACAGCTGGGAGAGAGAACTCCCCCTCAGCAGCACCTGGGCTGGGGGAGGAGAGGCGCCTCTCCCCGCCGCCTCTCCCCGCCGCGGCAGCTTTGCCGAGCTGTATTGGGGCCAGGGCGCCTCTTCCCCATACCCAGCCCGTCCCAGCTGCGAATGGGGGAGGGGCATCTCTCCCCTGGCCACGGCAGGTCCTGGGCTGGGGCTGGGGAAGGGGCGCCTCTCCCCCGGCCGTGGCAGGTCCGGGGCTGGGGAAGTACCATCTCTCCCCGCCGCAGCCCTGAGCACCTGCACTTAATAGGCTGCTGCATGGCCACGCAGCTTAAAGGGAACTTAGGCCACATTATGTTCCAATTTCACTTATTAATAGTGACATCAATTTATTGGCAAAAGTTCCAGAGATGAGACTGGAGAAGGTTTTAGGTTCTATCATACACCCAAATCAAGTCGGGTTTGTCAGAGGCTGTCATGACAACTTACTGGTATTATAGCAGTGAAATAAGATGACCCTGACCCATATTAGCCTTAGATGCAGAAAAGGCTTTTGATAGAGCAGACTGGAGAAATATCTTTTATACTCTACAAAAATTTGGATTTGGACTCCTATTTAGTTCCTGAATACAATCATTATATTCTCAACCAACCTCTCATATCACAACCAACCATGTGACCTTAGACACTTTCAGTCTCTTCTGGGGTACCACTCAAGGGTGCCCACTGACTGCACTACTTTTTTATTTGGTTCTTGGGCCCCTGACAATAGCTACCTGGGCTCATCCAGATATTCAAGACATACAACTTGGTTCCATGGAGCATAAATTGATGTTATATGCAGATGACGCCCTTCTGTACATATCTAAACCAGAAACCACTATTCCAGGCCTCCTATCACTAATTCAAAAATTCAGAGCAATATTTGGTTACAAAGTAAACAGGGAAAAATCAGAACTACTCGAAATCTCCCAATTGTCATATAGTGGGGCTTTTTTGCAATAGAATCTCCATAGGCAAACTAACGCAATTAAGTACCTAGGTATAAAAGTACCAAGAACATTAACAAACTAGTGAAGATAAATTTAGATCCTGTACTCTTTCAAATAACTAGTGAAACAAATAGGTGGCATCCTCTCTACCTGAGCCTATGGGAAAAAATTAAACGATAAAAAATGAATATTCTGCTCAGGCT